AGCGTAAAATCTTATATATATATGTGTAATTTATACAAACCTCCTTTAGCTCTAGCATCTTTCTTTTTAATTGCATTTTCTTTAACACGACGTAAGAAATCATCTCTACATTTTGAATGTTTTACATGTTCGATACGAACATTGATTCTCTTCTCAATGTATCTATTACCAACACGTTTATAAATAATAACACCAACTGAGGATTTTGTCACATTATAAACAATTCCCGTACGTCTTTATTATTATTATAATTATTATCATATGCATACCACATAAAAAAGATTATGATTAGATTGGAAAAAAAAGATAATTGAAAATAACAAAATATATGTGTGATTAATTGATTGATTGACCCTTACCCATGATAAAATTTATGCGGCATACCTTTTTGAATTGCACCGTTTGCTTTGACATCTACGATATCGCCAACTTTATATATTTTAAGATAGGTTGAAAGCTTAAGATATCCATGATCTTTAAATTTACGAGAAAACATATACCGTGTGCGAGCACGGATACCGTATGAGTGAGGCATTTCTTCAAATCTAACAAAATAAATGATTGAGAGAAAATGAGTTAAAATTAAACTTTCATGAATTATAAATATAGAATTGAATTTTTACCTTTTTTTTTTAGTTCAAAATAATTTAATTATAAAAAAAATTTTTTAGTGCAAATTTTTTTTGTGTGGATTAAAATTTAATTGGTTAAATCAAAAAAAAAAAAAATAATAATCTTGGTTCATAATAATTAATTCTACAATAATATAATTTTATAAAAATGCCAGGAGCTCCAATAAACTGTAACTATTTAATTTTCCAATTGAACAAATTTTAATTTATATATTCAATGATTACAATCGATTCATTCATATTCACTTTACCTCTTCTTTTCCTTCTTTTATCTTTCCTTATTATTATTATAATTATCATCATTGTGTTATAGGTTCAAAGACATACAAGGTTCCACGTCGTCCCTTTGAGAAGGAACGTATGGACCAAGAACTTCGCTTAATTGGTGATTATGGATTGAGAAACAAACGCGAAATTTGGCGCGTGGCTTATACATTATCAAATATTCGAAGAGCTGCTCGTGAATTGTTAACATTAGATGACAAGGATCCTCGTAGACTTTTTGAAGGAAATGCATTGATTAGAAGACTTGTTAGAATTGGTGTGTTGGATGAATCTAAGATGAAACTTGATTACGTATTGGCTTTGAAAATTGAAGATTTCTTGGAAAGAAGATTACAAACCCAAGTCTATAAATCTGGTTTGGCCAAATCTATTCATCATGCGCGTGTCCTGATAAGACAGCGTCATATTCGGTATGCGTTGAAATTTAAATTTTATTTATTTTTTTTTGTAAGCAAACATACATACATATACTAAATTTTTACTTATTTTTGGGAATAAAGTGTTGGAAAACAAATTGTCAATATTCCCAGTTTTATCGTCAGGTAGAAAAACCTAATTGATAATTTTTTTTAATTTACTAATTAATTAATTAATTAATTAATTAATTAATTCATTCATTCATTAAATTTTTTCAAAAAGGCTTGAATCTCAAAAACACATTGATTTTGCACTCACTTCACCTTATGGTAAATATTCTAAAAAAAAACATGATAATAATAAGAAGAAAATATAATTTTATAATTTTATATATAATCTTTTTTAGGTGGTGGACGTCCTGGTCGTGTAAAGAGAAAACGATTACGATCAGCATCAAAAAGTAATATTTTTTTTTTTTAAAAAAAAGTTTTCCTGATTGCTTTTAAATCGGATATTCATTAATTTTATTTTTATAAAATAGCTAATGATGAGGAAGGAGAAGATGACGACGAATAAACAATCCAATCAATATTAATAAAAAATTTTTGAGTTATTTAATAATAAGGAAAAAATGAGTTTTTTTATTTTCCCAATAAATTTCTAAATTCTTTTTGCTAATGATCAATTCGTATCTTTCTTTCGTCATCTAACTTTTATGTATAATTCCATAATTCTATTGTTAATTCCGCTGCACTAAAAGCAGCCAATCTTAAAAAGAAAAAAGGTGTTAATTTTCAGCAAGGGATATTTTTGAAACAAAATTTTATCAAAGTTATTTATTACCTCGCTAAAGTAATACATAACATCAAACCTTCTGGAGATAAAAATAACCTATTATCATTATTTGAAGATCACTTTGACGTTGACGTTGACTTAAGGAATCTTTTTGAATGAAACATATCATAAAAAACAAAAGCGTCAGAGTAAATTTGTAAATAAATAATAAACAAACAATATATTATCTCAAAGAAGAAAAGAATGCTTTGCCTCTGAAACATTTTCAAGAATAGTATATATAATCAGGATACCTTTGAATACAAATGAAATTTAGATTCCTTCAAAACTCTTTATTTATAAATTTTTGCTTGTTTTAAATTCATCATCATCGTAACCACCACCCATCATCATCATTACCACCGCCATACTAAACATCGTCACAGTCATCACAAATTTTAATAATAATTAGGCGTAATATATATTTATTTCTGTAAAAAACTCATTCTAAAGGTTCATGGATTAATTAATTAATTTTATTTATTTATTTATTTGTAGATATAGAATCATTTTAAACCATTTTTAATTTTAAATTCTGCTAAAAAAAGGGCATTCATTCATTTATAAATCATTTTAAATGCCAAAAAAAAAAGACAATTCACATTAGATAAGGATAAGTATGTACCCAGTCATATTAGATGCACCATCACTTCCAAAATGAATTATTTTATGCCTTATAATTAGTCAGTAATTGAATAAAGATTTACTATTTTCAAGTTAAATAATCACTCAATTTCATTATCTTCTAGTTTTTTTGTTGACTGTACAGAAATTTTAGCAATATTTTTTAAGTGCTGAGTTCTTTTTTGATTCCAACCATATTAAATATTTTAAAAAAGAAATATTTCATAATTTACTATCCATCAACCCGTCAAATCAATGGCCCCACCTCAAAACCAATGGGTTTTTACTAGTATAAAGTATTCATAATGTTATGATCATACCGTACTGAATTTTGGGGATCAAACAAAATCAGCGCATATGAATCAATTAATTGCTTATAGTAACAATTGGTCAGTTTCAAAATACTAAAAAAAAAAATTTTTATATCGTTTAAAAAAAGTTAACCGATAAGTTTTATGGTGCTTCAAAACTTATTTTTCTCAAACTAAAAATTGAGCATTTTTAAAAATTCCAAATTTTGTTATACACTTAATATTAATATTAAGAAATTGAGACTAAGTAAATTTCGTGTAACGAACTTTTATTTATTTTCTACAACATATATTGATTCATTTGTATTATTTATTTTCTTTTTTTTTTATTAATAAAAGTTCTTTAAAGTTTAACGAACATATTACATCAAAAGAAAATTATTACTAAATTTGGTCATGCAATTCAAAATATCGCAACACGAAAATTATTGACCCAAATTATAATGTTTCTTCTAAATTAAACTCTCTTTTACTTTTAGAGTTGAAAGTTTTTGGTTAGGAAAATTGAACACATAACATTATTAAGAGTTAAAATCTTGCCAGACAAATGAACTAAAAAGTTTTTTTTATTGCATTTCTCTCAAATTTAAAAAATCTATGAAAAAAAAATTTGAGACAAATTTTTTTTTTACATGAATTGGCTCCCATTTTAGAGCTGAATTGAATGGTGGCGGGTTTTTTAAAACCTAACATGTGGATCAAATTTTTTAACTTTTGAGTATAGATGATCCGCACTACGAACATATACTAAAAAATAAATACGTAATTATATACTTAATAAGTGTATTTGTAACAAAAAAATCTGTTCATGAGTGACTTATTTATGAGTTATGATTTATTATTATGATTCAAATCTTACTTCAGAGAAACTAAAGGAGATTTACAATTACTCCCAATCTGAACTTTGGTTAAAAAATATATTTAATAAATATTTTTTGTAATAAAAAAAATTGTTTCGTGAAATTAGTTGTTATTTATTATCATTGTGATTCAATCTTAACAAAGAAATTCCAATAAATCTGAAATTTGATGTGTGTGATAATAAAAATAGTAATAGTGTTACCGAAATTAGGATTTAACGCCAGTGTGTAAAATTGAACGGGCGCAACGGGCGCGTGTAACATTATTAACCAATCAAATTATGAATTTCTGGAGATAGTTTCTAAATTTATACTAGTTACACGACTAAATTTATTCGCTGATTTGTTGGTCGAAATACCCTAATTCCGAATCTATTTTTACTTTATTTTTATATCTATATTTATTTATTCCTTATATTTCTTATTTCATTTCTTATATTATTTTTTTTTGTTCATTTCTTTTATACTATTTTTATTTGTATATATTACATTATTTTTATTCGTATTAGTTAACTTTATTTAGGAATTAGCGTCGTGGTTAGAATGCTACGTCGCAATTAAAGTGCGATATCGCGTTTAGAATGCTAGATCGCAACAAAGTTGTTACTAATTAATTTAATTATATATAAGAAACTCAAATTCGACATACTTATAAAAAACATGGTAATAACATTGTAATAAAGTTCTAATAACTTGTAAATTAACTTAATAAATTAATTTCAACTAAATAAAACGTTTTCTTAATTCACTAAAACCAAAATTATTCGCTAATAAGACTATTTCGTTAGTAATAGCCAATAAAATTTATATTGTTATCATCAATTAACACCCTCTCCCAAATAATAATTGGTGACAATAGTAATAATTAATATTAAATCGGATGATAATAATGTAACACATACACATTGTTATAAAGAGTCTTATTATTGTTTTACATGATTTTTATGAAGTTACACTAACGTAATCTTCTTCAACTATATATTTATTGATAACAGAATTGGCATTGAATTTTTTTAAAAGCAAACAACTGATTTCTTGATTATTTTGTCTTATAAAATTTTTTTGATTGTTAAAGTTGATTGTTGAAACCAAAACAGATGGCTTCAATTATTCCTATAGATGAAAGGAGGTTGCATATTAAAGAACTTCAAAACGCCAAAAATTTTGAAGAGTTGATGAATTTTTGGTAAGATAAAGGTGTTTATTCATTTTTAATTTTTTTATGCATTATAATTAATAATGGATTTTATCAAATAGGGGCCATGAGATAGAAGAACACGCAATAAAAACACATGATAATTATATATTAGGGGCTCAGCGTATATCAAATGATAAAAAATTGTCTAATGATAATTCCTTTCAAAGAATCAATGGTGACGATGATTTAACTTCTAATGAGTCAAGCATTGAAGACATTTTTAAACAGTTCAATGTACCTTTATCTAATGTAACATATAATGAACAAGATGATGATATTTTACCAGCAACTACTACCAAATCATCCCCAATTAGTAGTGATAATAGTACAAAGGGTCATGTTAAACCCGTAGTATTATTATGGCATGGACTTATGACTTGTAGTGAGATTTGGGTATGTAATACTGAATATGAAAATAGATTAGCTTGTTTATTGGCTGATGCCGGATATGATGTTTGGTTTGGTAATTCACGAGGAAATAAATATTCAATGAAACATGTTAAATATCCAAATGATAATAATTTTTGGAATTATTCTATGGACGAATTGATTTATTATGATTTGCCAGACACAATTAATTATATTTTAAAAGTTACTGGTGCAAAGTCACTCACTTATATAGGATTTTCACAAGGTTCAGCACTATGTTTTGCTACATTGTCATTATTACCAGATATAAATAAAAAAATTAATTTGTTTATAGCTTTAGCACCTGCAACCAATCCAAAAGGTATTTATAATACACAAATTCTTTTGATTTAATTTTAATCTTTTGTTTATTTATTATTCATTTATTTGTATTTTTTTTTATTAGATTTACAAAATTTCTTGTTAAATAGTTTGGTTAAATTATCACCAAATATAATATATTTATTGTTTGGTAAAAAATCTATATTATCAATGGTAATGTTCTGGCAAAAAGTTTTACCAACTTCAATATTTATAAAGATAATTGATATAGCACTTAAATTATTATTTGGTTGGGATTGTGAAAACATTTCAGAATTACAAAAATCAATTGGATATTTTCATTTATTCAGTTGTGCCAGTGTTAAAAGTTTAGTGGTAACAAATTTTTTAATATTTTTAAATTTTTAATAATAATACACATGTTTGTATATTTATTTATTTATTTATTTATTTTTTTAAAAAAAAGCATTGGTTACAAATAATACATCATGGAAAATTTCGGAAGTTTGAAGACCCTTTCACAGTAACTTCATTAAGCTCTATTGATCAAGATTTTCCATTAAATCAAATTTCTACACCTTTAGCATTATTTTATGGTGGCAGAGATAATTTAATAAATATAGAATTTTTGATGAATAAGTTGAATAACAACCAACAAGGAAAAGATAGTGTGATAGTTAGTGTTAATAAAATAGAAAATTATGAACATTTAGGTAAATTTTTCTAAGTTGATTTTCAATTTTTTATTATAAAGAAAAACATTTAACGTTAATAATATTTAATAATGTGATAATTAGATTTTCTTTGGGCAAAAGATGTAAATCAAATATTTCCTGAAATTTTTAATTTATTAAAGAAATATAATTCACCTGTCTAGATAATTTAATTAATAAATGTGCGCATGATTATTTATAAAGGATCAAAATTAATTGGTCGAGTTCCAAATTTTATCACATATCAATTGAATTCTTGATGATTCTGAAAAGTGATTATAATAACAGCATATATGAACTATATATACACACTGTTACCAATTGAAACCACTTCTTTTAGTAACTACAATTGCCCAAATACTTGTGGACAAATTTCATTTTTTATACACATATTTTGATCAATTTATTCAAATCAAAACACCATTAGATGTGGATATTTATTTTACAGCTTGAAACATTTTTCAAGTCTTTCTCTTTCAGTGTTTATGAGTTAATTCAATTTTAAAAAACTGTGTAATTACTTTTAATAATCTTCTTGATTGAACTAGTTTTTCCCAAGATTAGGAAGAACATTTAACTTGTAGTTTTCAGTCCATTTATAAACTGAGTAATTCAGAAATCTGTACATGTGAATTAAAGCTCCATACAAACCGGCTCACAGTAAATAACCTAATAAGCTCACAAACTGGTCCATGAGGGGCTTTAATGTGAATCAATCATTTGTTTTAGTAATAATACCATAAGATACATATTTCTTCTTATTGACTTTCTCCATTTCCCACATAATAACAGTAATTGACAGTTTGTTTACATAAATAGATGTAGAATAATAAAAAGAAGAAAAAAAATTACAATACCAAAGATGCATTGGAACCAATAAATCATCATCTTTAATCATTTGTTTGAATTATAATTAGGAATATTGGTACTATAACCTAAAATGAATATATTTATGTGTAATGCCTTTTGTATTAGTTATTAGAAATAATAATAATACTGTTTACTTGTTCCAATTCCATTTGTGCCATTTACAAGAATCTGGAATATATTGTTTTGGTTCAATCTTTGTCCATATTCATTCAAGCATTCAAGCAATTTGTCATCATCAGGGTGACAAGTCTTGTTTGTAAAGTGTGTGTGTGTGTACATATGGGGCATACCGCAACAAAACCAGACAATGTGAACATTGATGTTACCAAAATTTTCAGGGATTAAGATTGTTTGTTTAACATCATGATTGTATTACAAATGTGACCATTATTTTCTATAACAATAGTACCATACAGCAAAGAATAGATTTTGTCATTCTCTTTTCTTTTCTAATCAATAATAAATGGATCTTTATTATGAATAGGTAATACAATTGTGAAATCAAACACTATTGATCCCTGAAATCATTGGTAATACCAATGTTCACTTTGTCTTGTTTTGTTGCAGTATGCCAATATATATATAACTATTTTTTTATTATTTCAAGGATGACAGAGAATCCTCAAAGAAAAACTAATATATAGACGTAATAAGCAGGTAAAGAAGTAATATACAGTAGAGGTTGGAACCGGTTTGGGTACAATCGACTTAAAACCGGCTCCTATTTTTCATATTCGATAAACCGAATATAATAAAACCGGTTTATTTCGGGCAACCGAAGGATGGGTGATGAAAATATTTTGGAGTGTAAAAAGTATTTCATCAAATGGGGCACATATGACAAAACGTGATGAAAGTGACAAAACATGACGAAAAGTGACAAAGGGTAAAGTCGAAAGTCAAATTATGATAAAGATGACAAAATATAAATTCAATTTTATTTA